AGCAAGATACATCTTCCCTGTATTTTGTGTTCTTTAATCGTTTATAATATACTAGACTGTCATTTATCAGAATTATGTATATCCCGACTAACCTATTTTGAATGCTGTTTAGTCCACCTCGTTTGGTACGATTGCTCTAGCCTTTCTGTCTCATCAACGACACATAATGCTAATGAATTGTGAAATATGCGGATCTACCTGCTTCATTACTATCTCGCCAGCCATGTCAATTTTACCTGAACTATCATTTATATCAAGTGGCCCAAATAACCTCGACTAGCCCTGCAATCTTACAGTGAATTAAGTAGCTCTGACACTTCTAATTAGCTTTTGTACTTGGGGAAATAACGAAATGGTCGTCTAATTTTTTTCATATGTCTCATGTATAATATTTGGTTTTAGACCATAAATATGAGCTCAGAAGAAGTACATTTCGCCTCCAATCTGCCTCTGAGAGAATAAGCTAGTAAGATTTCGGGCTGATTTCCCAGCTACCTACATGCTATTTATATTTACTATTTTAAGCATAGCTATGAATGTAGGGCTATGAGAAGCACTTAATTGAATAGTGATTTACTACTTCTCGTCATTTTGTTTTATGTCATATATATTTATATTTATGTATTTTTTATTCACTATTCTTCAGACTACTGACAAAACGTCAACTGCGAGGGCAGCACTTTCAGATTTTCATCGCCTTGACTCCAGAACGTTGTCTCTGTCGAGCCCCACCTTTACGACAACCTCAACTATCATTAACACCAGCTCCTCCGGCTCATTCCCTTATGCTACCTTTGGGCGCCCAGAATCCTCAAGCACTCTTCCGCTGACTTATTCTTCTCCGCCGTCCAATAAATCTCAAGCTTCGCCACTTGTAGCGGCGACGGCAGCCGCCGCTGCTGCGGCCCAACTACTGGCTTGTCCTGGTCAAGTGCAACAACCCGCACTACAACAACTCCTCAATTCACTCTTGCAGCCTCGAAGGGTGGATCGAGCCCGGCTCGGGATTGAAGTCCGCCAAGCCAGGGCTGTGCCACTCCTGCCACCACCACCCTACGAGCTGGTGGATGTCGGTCAGATTGCCAGCTGTACAGATGCGCCTTCTTCAGGCGTGTCTTTTCTAAGGAGCCAAACTGAATTAAACTCATCCGGCACTGCCTGTAATCATGGCCAAGACGTCCGGGGGGTGGCTGCTGTCATGCCAGACGCCACCTTGTATTCGGGCGATCGCTACCGAACGCAACCGGGCCATGTTAGATCTCATCCTTCATTTAGGGGTCCCATACAGAAGACTGC